AAAAAAAAGTAATAGTTAAGAAATGAATTATTAAATTAAGCCTATTCTTTTGGTTTAAAAATTTCTATTTACAGATATGTATATTTGGCAATGATAGATTTATATAATCAACAAAGAATGATTTAAATAAAAAAAATTTAATCCAACAATTTGTTTTAAAAATATTAAATTAAAATCCAACTTTTTTTTTTTTAGAATGAAAGATACTAAAGCAAAATTCCTTTTGCTTTTAGAAAAGAGAAGTTCAAAAATTGTGAAATTCATTTTATATATAAAAAAATTAAAACTCATATTTAGTACTAAATTTTCTTATTATAAAAAATAAAAGAGGGGAAAAGTTAAAAAAAAAAAAAAAACTAAAAAACAAAAATGTGAGAAGTAACTTGAGTACTGCTTTGCAAAAATATTTTTAAAGCAGTACATGTTCGTCAATAACTAATAAATGAAGACCTGATTTGCAAAATCTGGTTTAACTTATTGCATAGGTTATTATGGGCTTATGTTCTTCCATCTCCCACAGATCGCTTCATTCTCCGTTTTCCTCAGTAGATAGTCGCTGCTGCTTCTCTGTAATCGGATTCCGACGATCTCTCGCCGGTAATCTTTTCTGTTTCTCCTCAGTACCGGTCTTCATCTTAGAAAGCTTAAGCTTTTCTTTTTGTTGAATTTTGTTTAATTTTTTTTTTTCTGTTTTTAGATGTCTTCCCCTGCGTTCGAGATCCCTCCGAAGGGTGGGTTCAGCTTCGATCTCTGTAGAAGAAATGAGATGATTGCGAAAAAGGGTGTTAATCCCCCGTCTTTTCGGAAAACGGGAACTACAATCGTTGGGTTGATCTTCCAGGTGCGAATGATCCTCTCTGTCCTTTTCAATTTGTTCATACTGTATTGTATGCAAATCCGTTGCTTGATTCGTATGTCTGTGAGTCTCTATTCTGTGAAATTTAACTATGGCCAAGTTTCTTGCTCAGATTGAAGGGTTATTGTTGTAGTGCAGGTTTAGGTTAAGTAACTGGAATGCATGAATTCTTAGTTGAAATATAGTAGATTTTTGGAATTTATTCATTCCCATGTTTTACATTACCAATATGATGCTTTTATCAAGTCAATTTTGTGTGTAATTGTAACTAAGTCAACAGAAACTAATTCCCTACTTAGGGTTTCAAAAAAGTGCATTGTAGAAGAGGTGAATTGGAAATGTTTTAGCTTTTAGCATTTTTATGTAGTGTGTAGTCCCATGACTTTAAGGATTGCTCTTGTGCTTGTTTGTCACTTTTACTATGAACATATCTTGGTAGAGATGCTTAGTCTAGGGGATAATGTATTGGCTACAGTGTGTTAGAGAATTTTGGTAGGTCATTCAGTTACTCAATTCACTTTTCGGTTTGTGGATTGGAAATCATGTCAAGAGGCTGTTTAGCAATCTATTGAGTCTCGAATATTGGGGCATTCTAGTTGATGACCATCTTGTGGTGAACTTGGCATCTTTCTTGTATCATCAAGCTTGAGGAGTTTAAAAGATGCAGATGTTAGTGTTTTTTTGTCCTTTGTTTGGTATTGCTAGTTTATACTATGTCTAGTATAGTTCTGCTGGGATTTATGTAATATAATTACTCTCATTTCAATATTTGTGTAGGATGGTGTCATTCTTGGGGCAGATACTAGAGCAACTGAAGGGCCCATTGTTTGTGATAAGAATTGTGAGAAAATTCATTACATGGCACCAAACATATACTGCTGTGGAGCAGGAACTGCTGCTGATACTGAAGCCGTAACTGGTACTTTTTAGGATTGATGTTTAATGTGGCAGTGCCGATATTTTGGTTCTTTAATTTAATGCTAGAACTCCTTTATTGTATACTGTTTTCTCATTCTCATGTCTCCGTAACTAACCACTTCCTATTGTGTCTATATGACAGACATGGTTAGCTCACAGCTGCAGTTACATCGCTATCACACTGGTAGAGAGTCCAGGGTTGTTACAGCATTAACCCTTCTAAAAAGACACCTTTTCAAGTAAGTTCTTTTGTTTTCTGATATATGTCTACAGTTTAAAATGGATATATGATTCTATCTGCTTAATGTTTTGCACAGCTACCAAGGTTATGTCCAAGCTGCTTTGGTGCTTGGTGGTGTTGACTGCACCGGACCCCATTTACATACTGTGAGTGCATTCCCCCCATCAGAGCTTTAAAAGAATAACAGCATTTAGTCTTTTCTATTAATTTAACTTGACACCTTAATGGTTGATTCTGCAGATATACCCTCATGGATCAACTGACACGTTGCCATTTGCTACAATGGGTTCTGGTTCTCTTGCTGCAATGGCTGTATTTGAGTCAAAGTATAGAGAGGGATTGACTGTAAGTTACCTATTTTGTTTGATCTGTTCTGCTACATGTTGTTTTATGGCATGTTGAATTCTGAAGTAATACAACATTGACATATTCTGCTACATGTTTGATCAGTTCTGATGTGTGAATCATTTTGACTTGTCATTTTACAACAGTTGGAAGCATAAACTCTTTCAAACAATTCTGTATTGCTGCTTTCCTGTCATCTTCCATTTATTGTTCAGTTGCCATATTCTGATGTTGAATATGCATTACTATTTTTGTCTTCTGCAGAGAGATGAAGGAGTACAGCTTGTATCTGAGGCTATATGTTCTGGTGTATTCAACGACTTGGGAAGTGGAAGCAATGTTGATGTTTGTGTGATAACCAAGGTTTAGTTATACTTGCCAGCCCTTCCTTTGTTTCAGGATAGGGGTGTAGGATTTTCATTATCTATTTCTCAACACAAGTCTCACTTTCCAACAAATGTTGGCACAGGGACACAAGGAATATCTGAGGAACCACCTACTGCCAAATCCTCGCACCTATGTCAGTTCAAAGGGCTTTTCTTTTCCCAAGAAAACTGGTTAGTAACATGCCTTCCATTTATTTATAATATCAGGCCTCGTATTGAAGCCCACTTCTATCATGGTTTTGACAAATTTCATGCATCATTTAGTTTTGCCTGAAAATGAAGAATGGTATTATCCAGCAGTATGACTGGCATCCTCTAAGAGGATTTAAACATTTAACTCATTATAGCTGTCACAACTGCTATATAATGCCAACACAGCAGTTATGAATATGTTAATAAACCCACAAAAACCAGATGCTGACCTTTTGGATGGTTCCAACAAGGAGTTGAAACTTGAAAGGACCCCCCATATTCTCAGAGCCTTTTTAGTTTGACACTAGCTGCACGAATTCAGTTTCCATACAATATTGGCTGATGCTAATGCAATTTCTGTGGTTGCAGAGGTCCTGCTAACAAAGATAACTCCACTGAAGGAAAAAGTGGTAGTGATCGAGGGAGGAGATGCCATGGAAGAGTGAAAACCATCATTATGTGAGAAACATGGGTTTTAAATTTGGTCAAGTTGTAATTCAAGGTTTAAAAAACATTGAAGACACTTGTTCACATGTTACTAGAACAGCACTATAGCCGCAGCTGTAGAACATCTAAGTACTTTTCACTTGATCAATGTTCTGGACACAATTAAGATTTGAGTGCTTTATTATTATTATTATTTATTTTAAGCCTTTTGCTGTGACAATTAAGTTTTGTCATCTGTTCAACGAAGTTTGGAGTTTGGGTTTGAATCAAATTACGAAAATTGGGGCAAATCAATTCCTAAATCCAAACATGGGTTTGCTTTTTCTGGCCCAACTAAAGCTGAAAGTGCAATTTCCCTCAAAGCTTTAATGTACCTAAATCCAAAATAATAAATGATATCATTAAAATCTAAATTTCACATCAAAAAGTAAATAAATATTGCCAAAATTTGGCCCTAATAGTTATTTCTATTTTTATATGATATTGAGAAAATTAAAAACGTTGTGGGAATTAAAGTATCATAATCATAATAATAATAAGATATTATTATTTATCAATCAAATTTTTTAAAAAATGAAGTAAAAAAAGTGCTTAAATTTTAATAGCATACCATAAAAAAATATTAAAATGATTTCATTTGAATTTTAAAGATAGGATGTTTTAGTTGAAAAAATTAATGAAAACAATATAAATTTGAGCGCCTGAACTAATAAACATTTTTTTCCTAATAATAAAAAAAGTAAGTATTTTTAATCAATATGTAGAAATTTATTTAAGATATACATGAAAGGTGGTGTTATAGGGATAATTTTTTAATCTCACATTTTTATATAACTTTCACATGTTATTTTGTCTCACATTTTTATATAACTTTCACATGTTATTTTGTTTTACCTTTTTATACAATTTTTACATATTATTAAATGATTATATATATTTAATATCACGAGTTTTATATGAATTAAAAAAATCAATTATTTTAATGACAAATTAGGTTATACAAAAAAAATAAGACAAAAAAATTGAACAAAGAGCATTTCTCTTATATGAAAAATTTTATAGATAATTTATGTTATTTTAAACTTAAAAAATATTTTTAAAAACAAACTATACATTAAAATATAAAAAATATTTTAATAAAATAATATAAAAAATAATTTCATTAAAAATATTTAAATAAATTTATAAAGTAATGTACAGTTTCGCATGAAAAACTTGAATTTCTTTTAAATTAAGCTTACGTGCAAATTAATGGAGGAGGCACAGCAGAAGGCGTTGCGTGTCACTGAATTATACGTCACCGTCTCTTTCTTTACTTCTCTTCTCAACACAGGGAAAATCCAGGCTTCATTTCACCGGAGTGGGGGCCGACGCCGTCCATCGGAGAAGACATGTCTTACGATTACCTTTTCAAGTACATAATCATCGGAGACACAGGTAACTGTTGCTTTGCACCCGGAACCCTACTTCTTTACTGTGTATCATGTTTCTCTGCGGCTGTGTTAATTTGGTTTTGAGGGTCTGATTGTGGGGGGGTTGTTGGTTTACAGGTGTGGGGAAATCCTGCCTGCTCCTGCAATTCACCGACAAGAGGTTCCAGCCGGTCCATGATTTAACCATTGGAGTGGAGTTCGGTGCTCGGATGGTCACCATCGATGGCAGGCCCATCAAGCTTCAGATTTGGGATACCGTATGTCTTCTTCTTTGAGTCTTTCTTTGACTTCTTCTTGTTAACGCTTGTTGATTACTAAGGTAGATAATAAAAGAGGAAAAATGGTCTTTTGCCCATGAGTTTCTAACAGTTCAGGTTGAGTATCAGAATCCCAGAATCTTGTGTGCTGGAATTCATATTCCTTAACAGGAATTATGTTGTTGCAATCGAGGGCTTGATGGGGTAAACCTCTAAAAAGGAGGAAACATAAATTCATCAATTACTTAAACGAAATCTTCTTTCACTCTAGTAGTGGTAAGAGTTAGGATTCATTGTCTAGGAAACTATGGAGTCCAGCAGTGTAATTTGGTCATCATGCTATTGGGGTTGTGGTTTTCTTCAATTGGGTATGTTACTTGTTCCATTTAGCTTGGATTTTTTGTTTCCCATTTAAGTCTGCCTTTTGTCTTCATAGAAGACCCACTTAATTGATTTGTTTAGCTGCATTCTCTAGCAACTCGCAAAGAAGAAATGAATAAACTTTTACTTTGAGCTATATACTAGGTGGGGGCATGCCCACTTTTTCTGGTTCTTTTATGGTGAAGGCTCATCTTGTCCCTATGTCATGTTGTCAAAAGAGCATTAATGGATACTGAGCAGCATGTTTTATCTTTTTAATTTATTTATTTTTTGTGATCATTATTTTTTTTCGCCATTTAAAATTTATTTATGGACTGAAAAGTGAAAACCAAGAATCTGGTATCTGTTTCAGGCTGGGCAAGAATCCTTCAGATCAATCACTAGATCTTACTACAGAGGGGCAGCTGGGGCTCTTCTGGTCTACGACATAACTAGGTCAGACCTCAGAACTTGGAAGCCTTCTTTCCCCTTCTTAGATTGTACAGGCTTAATAGTATTGTTCTGTCTTGAGTGGGTTTTGAAGTCGTCAAGCTGTCACTGTCTTACCCTATCATTAGTGTAGCTTTACTTTCCTATATTTGAAATTTTTTCCCCTTGAGTTTTAGTTGGTGACTGAGTGTACTGCTCTGAATCCGAATTCCAGATTCTCTATTTTTGTTTGTTTCGTTCTGTCTTTCAAGTTGTTCTCCATTCAATTCTCGTTCAGCTTCAGTTATGATTTTGTTTAACTATAACTCAATTTTGTCAATGTTTTAGGAGAGAGACATTCAACCATCTAGCAAGCTGGTTGGAGGATGCTCGGCAACATGCAAATCCAAACATGACAATCATGCTTGTAGGGAACAAGTGTGATCTTGCTCACAGGAGGGCTGTTAGCAAAGAAGAAGGTGAACAGTTTGCAAAGGAAAATGGGCTCTTGTTCTTGGAGGCATCTGCCAGAACAGCTCAAAATGTTGAGGAGGTGATGTAACCACTCAAAAGTGGCATGCCATGTTTTTCTCTACACCTTAAAGCTTAAACTCTCTCCAGCTAGGATGTTATTTTATTTTATTTAACTAATGTTTGACTCAAATGTTAAATTATATTGTAGGCCTTCATAAAGACTGCTGCAAAGATCCTCCAGAATATTCAGGAAGGTGTTTTTGATGTATCCAATGAGGTACTCATCAACTCACTTTGTTGTGGAGACATTTTGTTATGACTTACCTTAGATTGGATATTATATTGAGTTCTTGTTGTTTTCGTGCTTGATTGCTATTCTGGTGTCAAGATAACTTAATAGTTGTCAGAAAAAGGTTTATGCATGCATATGCTTTTAGTTTGTCCCATATAACTGTATGATTTAATTAGCACATAGGCCATTTTGCAATTTGGATTCAAACCCATTATGTGATACGCATGCATTGTTGCACAAAGTTGCAAACCCCCTCAAATTTTCTAATTTAAAAACCTCTTTTTTTGAAATGATTGCAGTCTTCTGGCATCAAGGTTGGATATGGACGTCCCCAAGGTCCATCAGGTGCAAGGGATGGAGCTGTTGCTCAAAGAGGTGGATGTTGTGGTTAACTGAAACAAGAAGAGTCTCTATATGTGATCCTTCAGTGCAATTAATTTCTAATACTTTTTCAGTTTTCATCCCTTCTATGAATACACACCATTCGAAGTGCTGTGGAGCTTCTTGAGAAAGTTGACTGTATAGAGCTACTCTTGTTTTGCCTTAGACTTTACTGAGAATTTGTGGAATTGTATCTTCAATTTCAGTTACAGGACAGGACCACATTTGAGCCAAGGGCATCCACCTTTTTAATAGTTTTATAAATCATCCATCTTGCTAGTAAAATCAGCACTTCCTAGATGTTTGGAAATATTACATGTAACTTCTTATTTCAGCCGAACAGGGAAAAACATTTATCTAAAATGGTAAATAAAAACAGGTGAAGATGATCCATGGTTGCCAAAACAAATGATCTGTCTAAAATGGTATTGACCAACAAAGATGACTTGCTTAAAGCATACATCTCTGAGAAGTGTTTCCTTATGATCTATAAGATTGTAAATACAGGTTAAAACTTGTCAAACAAGCTCAAACAACTCTCCCTTAGAATCACAAACATTCCGAGCAAGAATATCAATTTGTTCCGATTCCAAAGGTTCTTGTCGGACCTTTAGCTTCTACAGAGAAATATATGAATGGTCAGAACATGCAGAGATTACTCTTCATTCTAGCTACAACACAACCATATCCATCAAGCAAGCATTTAACGAGACCCAAGCCAACATCATTCCTCTAAACTTAGAACTGTCATCGATGACAATCAACTGTATATGGGAAATGATACATACTACACTTTACAAAATTACATACTCCATTATATATTGATGGTTTTCGTTATTTGTACCGTTAAAACTTATAGTTTTCGTTATTTGTATTGTTAAAATTAATAGTTTTTGTTACACATTGACAGTTTCCGTCAATATATAACAGAATATGTAATTATGTAGGATGTATGTATTATTGTCAATATATATAATATATTAAAAAGAGTGCCACTCGTCTTACCTTCTTCTTCGGTTAGTCTATAGCACTTCACCAATTCTCTGTGAATTGTTGATGTACTCAATATTTTGATAATAATCAAAGCTCAAGTTATAACTTTGTTATGTTAAAAATTCCTCATCTCCTACCAGAAAGTATACCTGTTCCAAAAAAAAAAGAAAAAAGTCAGACCACATTTTTTAATAATAAACTCTCTTCACTCTTCTTTTATACTCTAGCCAACAGCATTTTTATCCCTTCTAAAACCCTAACTTCCTTACCTATGGCAACTGCCCTCATCTCTTGTCTCGCGGAAGAGCTAGGTGACATTGCTCTTGTGGAGATTAGAGAAATGATTGAAGTCATTGTAACCTTTAGGGAGGAGGTTGTTAAACTTGAAAGCAAACATAAATGTATCTCCAGCTTTGTTGAAGAAGCAAAACGAAGACAAAACATGATCACGGGTGCAGATAGATGGTTGGATTCTTTAAAACTGATCATCTGCGACATTGAAGACTCGTTGGATGACTGACAAGTTTCCCAGCTACAAAAGAGGATAGGAGGAGACAGGAGGAAAAAGAAGGAGGGCTCGTTACCGGAGATCTACCATTAAGGAAAGAACTTGGGTGAAAAAAATTAAGGAGATTAATGTTAGACTGGATGAGATGTATGATAACAGGAAAAGATATACAAGCAAAAATGGAAATGGCCTAGAAACTGTTAAAAAAATTGATTAGATTGAGGTGATTAATTGTAGTGATGAGTCTGACTCAATCTTTGTTGGTAGAGAGATCTGAGTTGGGATTTAATCAATCTCATATTGGATCCAACAACTAATGGACCTAAGAACAAGAATTTCAAGACCATTTGTCTAACGAACTAGGATGGGAGGAATTGGAAAAAGAGCACTGACATTCTTTATTTGCGTCTTGGGTCAATCGATGTTGAGGAAAAGGAAAAGAAGATCAATGAGGGGAGAGAGTTTAAGATTTGGTTAGACAAGTTCAAAGAAGTCTGTTATGAGGCTGAGGATGTGTTCTTTCAGTCCAGTTGATAAGATAAACGTGGAGAAATTGCTTTTAAAGTAGAAAACATCAATGAAAGACTAGATCAGATATGACTAGATGAGATTGCCATTAAGAGAAACATGGCATCAAGAGATTCTTCACCGTCCAGAAGAAGAGTAGTTACTAGCCCTTGTACGGATTTTGTCAAAATTGCATTGTGGCAGGGATCAAGTATGAAAGACTTGATAAGCAAATTGCTATGTGAAACAGAGTGTGTTGAATTCAAGGAGGTCATCTCTGGTTTTGACATGGGTGGGCGGGGTTGGAAAAACAGCTCTTGCCCAACTCATGTACCAGGACAATGAGATTGTGACCCATTTTGATATGAGAATATGGGTTTGCGTGGCAAAGGTTTTTGACTTGAAAAATATTGCAGAAGAAGTTATTTCTACATCTTCATCCAAGTCTTTCAAGAGATGATCTCCACTCTATACGTTATCTAGCTCCTTTGTTCGAATCTCTTGAGGAGAAGAAGATTTTTCTTGTATTGGATGATGTTTGGAAATGTAGGTGTTTACACTTAAAATAAACCAATAAGGTAAGGCCACGTGTTAAGGTAAAACCCAATTATTAAGAAAATCAATAGGCTGGATTTGGGCTGGGCTAGCTTACAATTTAATGACCCAAACGGATTTTCAAGGAGGTTGGATCTTAAGTGGCAGAAGATAAGATTGGATCTGGTAGTTTGAGTTTGATTTAAAATGGGAAATTGAGGATTTTTAGGTAGTTATATTTAAGGTTGTTGGAGATAAGGTTAAATAAAAATTATCGGATAACTTTCAAACAACTGCCAGACCTGCAACCCCACTATCAGATCATGGAGGAACAGTACCGAAGATCATGGAGGAAGTTCCTAGCACCGAAGCAAATAAAAATAGAGAGAAGAGAACAGTTTAGAGGCCTGCCCAACACACACACAGACTGCCCAGAGCATGTTTTTCAGCTTTTAGACTGCTTTTTCTAGATTTCAGCAATAGTTTCCAGATTTTCCAGATTAGTTCATAGCCTTAGCCTAGGTTTGTTCATCTTTGTTCATATTTTCTCCTGCAAATTCCAATTTAGATTAATTTTTAAGCATTTGGAAGCAACTTAGCCTTCAAAACAGGTCTGCCCCTTTGATTTGGTTAGTTCTTCTTCTTTTTATGGATTTAGTTATGTTATTCGTTCATGTAAATAGGTTGAATGTTTTCTACCTTTGTTCTTTTGTTTCTGCACAATATCTAGACATGCAGTTTGTTTAATTTCAATGTCCAGATTTAAATTTATAAGTTTCTAGACTTTAATCATTTCATAGTTTCTACTTCAGTTTTAGTTAATCATTATGGGCTGGTAGTTGAAATCATTGTCTGTTATTTTACTTTTTCTGTTGTCTGCGAATTTAATCTCCATGGCATGTTATTTTCTGTTATTTACTTCATGTTAGTTTAATTGCTTTAAGATATTGCATTTATTTTAGGATTTGTAGTTTTTATTACACTTGTTTGGTTGTGAAGTCCTTAGAGGCTTCCAAATGCAATTAGTAACCCATTTTGCAGAACTATACCCTTTGTTTTGCAACATCATCTGGGGCGCAATTCATTTCACAAACGTTTTTTCCAGCCATCCTATTGGAGGTAGACTGCTGAAAAGGAGAAGGGTCGTCTGGAAAATCCAATTTTCTTGTTTTTAAACAAAGCAAGTGGCACGCCTAATAACCAAACTCACGTGGTAAAGGCCGGCTAAGGATTTTTGGGGAAACAGTAGGTGTGATGATAGGAATTTTCTCAGACGTGCAGCAGTTGGAAGTAGGATTTTAGTGACCACTCGTGACTATGGAGTTGCAGCAGGGATGATGAAGTCTTCTTCTACATTCTATCTGAAACAATTGACTCAAGAAGTTTCTTGGTTGATACTCAGTCAAGAAGCATTTATCGGATGGGGTGAGGAAGAATGTGGAAGCTTAAAGGATATTGGCTGGAAAACTGCAGAGAAAAGCAAAGGATTGCCACTTGCTGCTAAGACTTTAAGGTGCCTCTTGAGATTCAAGAGAACGAGGGAAGAGTGGGAAAACATCCTGTACAGTGACATGGGAACTGGATTTGGTACAAAAATGTGTTTTTGCTCCTGCCTTCGTGCACAAAAGTGAAATTTGATCTGACGAGTCCTGAATTGAGGACGCACTCTTCTAATTCTAATAAATTGAAAAGAGAAAGGGATGTCATTTCTCCTCCTGTAAGTCTAAATCACACTTTCTAATACTTAAATTTATTTTTGCAGGTACAGGCAACATACTTCTTCTTATTGGGAAATAGCTTCGCATCTTGAACCTCCGCCAAAAACTGGCTAGTTCCATGCTTTCGTAATGTGAGAGAGTTGCTGTTGTTGGTTTTATGTTTTTTACATTGAGAGACCTACTTCTACCATTGGTTGTGTTTTGTTTTTTACATTAAACAAGCCATGCATTTGTAGGTATTTTTATGTAGCTCTCTTTATGTTGGTTCATTCTATTAGATTGCTAAATGCAAAAATTATCAATTCTGATGTCACTGGTGATTTTTTCTTTTTCTTTTTATATTATAGACAAAGGAAATAAGTGTGAACACTTGTGTACTCAACTTTAAAACCTTAATTTTAAAGTTAATATACATATCAACTTGCTTAAGCTCTTATTAGTTCAAAAAAGCCAAATTTTAAATCTAGCAAAACTAGAATATGATAAAACTTCTTACTATAATACAATTTTCATGTTTCTGAATACTAGATTGTTTTTTCTGTACAAATGTTAAGAATAACAATCACACCAAAAGAAAAAGATCAAGTTTCTCCACTCTTCAGTCGACTGAAAATAGGTCCTGTTTGGTTTGAAGGAAAATGAAGCAAAAGGAAAAACCGAGCCAATCAGCACCCAAAGCTACTGACATACTGTAAGGTTTGTGACATTAAATATTCGTAATTTTTCCAATAACAAATTACGATCAATATCAACAAAAAAAGAAAAAAAAAAAAGTCACAAATAGACCTTTATTCTGATTTGGATTGGACTTCGACAAATAGGGCATGTTTGGATATTCCTTGAGCACTCTTCACAGGTCTGTAAAAGATAAAGGTCATTCAGAAGTTGAGTTATATTGTGTAAAGAACTATTTCTTTCCAATATATATATAT